GAGAGAGAGAGAGAGAGAGAGAGCTTCAAGGAGGAAATATAGGAGTTCTCAGAATCCTCAGGAGGCCATGCCCACACAGAGGCCTCGTTGGCTATGACCTGATTGACAGCCTCGACTCCACCCCTTCACTCTTAGTCCTCCCAAATTGGCAAACAATTAGATAACTACCACACTTGCTTACTTAGGAACTTAAAACTTCTATTAGGAAAATAAATGTTTTAAAGAGGAAATTTAATAAAATTTTGCTCACATGTTTTTTTCTACAAAATACCTTCACTTGTAGCTAAATTGAAAGCTAAGTGGCTCAGACTATAAGACTTGCTCAAAAATAATTTTACCTTAAATTCAGAAATCATACGCTGATGATCTCTAATGTAATTTCTTCCATGTCTGAAGTAAAACTGAAACACATAATAAAGCACTTAGTGATAGACTGGTTTGACCAATAAAATATAGAGTAAATAGTCTTAGAAAGATTTTCCCTGGAAGATGACTCTTGTTACATCTTGTGTTTTTGGCAGCTGGTTCATCAGATGAAATGATGAAGAGATGTATGGCATGGGATAAAGAAAAGAGGCTCAGTTTTGCCGTGCCATTTCTAGAGATGAAGCCCATCATCTATCTTGATGTCTTTTTGCCTCGGGTCACAGAATTAGCTCTGTTAGCTACTGACAGACAGACTAAGGTACTTATGAATTTCCTTTCACTTACAACCGACAGTCCATTGTTTTGAAAACATATTTGTTAGGCAACAGATAATATTTTCCCTCTTCTTATATCATTATCTTTGTCTTTTCTGAAGCATAGTTATTAGACAACTACTTACTTTCAGAATTATGTGTCACTGATGAATGATCAAGTGGAACATTAATAAATCAATGGATGTAAGATAAAATCCTAATATGTTAAAAGTTCTTCATAATAGAAAATAGCATTTAAAAGGGAAAAAGACATTTATAAATGACTGTTCATCTTTGCTTAATTATCTCAACTTCAGAGGTTAGAAACAAGTACTCTCAATTTCATGTTACTCTGTTAATTTCCAGAATATTTCGTATTTCTTATGAATATATTATTTCAAATGTTTAAAGCTTCTAAAGAGCAACTCTTAGCTTTTAGTTTGGGATTAAAGTGAACAGAAGCATTCATTTTATACAAGAAGAAATGCTATTTAATTAATTTGTATTTGAGATGTATGATCATGATCATCTTAAACATTTCTTTTTTTTAAACTTTGTAAAAGTCTGGCTTAAGTAACCTTTCATAATATCCTATTGAAAATGTCGAAGCTTGAGCTCGCTTACATCTGCGGCCTCTTCCAGGTTGCAGCATGTGAACTTTTACATAGCGTGGTCATGTTTATGCTGGGAAAGGCCACTCAAATACCTGAAGGTGACCATGGCTTCCCGCCCATGTACCAGCTCTACAAACGGACTTTCCCTGTGCTGCTCCGACTTGCATGTGATGTGGATCAGGTAAGTGAGATTGTCCATCTGCTGTGGGTGCAAAGCTTGTAACACTATTAAGTCCAATCAAAATGGAGTCAGCAGAGTTCTTTTGTAGGAACTAAAGCCGGCTCTGTCTAGCATTTGCTATGATGCTCAGCAGATGGAAGGCGACTCGAAATGTTTTGTCAGCCAGCACTGTCTATCGTTCAGGAGAGTCCAGCCAACATTATAAGAATATGATAGATA